AGCTTCGCTGTTATATCATCCATATTGGAAGCTCACTATCAAGCTTTGTATTATGAATGCTCCTTCTAGAAAAGGAGTTTCTTCTCATCTTCTTTCTGTAAAGAACAATTTTCAATGCCAGGTTTCCACTCTGGCAAGATTACCTCAAAATCATTTAAGTCTTTGGCAAGGCTTTTAAATGTACGTAAATTTAGTTTTAAGTGCATGCTATAGGTCTGATTAAGATTCACCATTGGTAATCCAATGCCAAGATATAAAAGCACCTACACCAAACTGAATGCCAGATCTCATTTTCCTTAAATTCTACAACCTGTTTCTCACTTAGATCTTCCCCCAAATTCTAAGCCCTAAAGTTGAAAGGAAGAAGGGTGGAAGTAGGTCATAATTTTTCTGGGAAGACATTACTTGTTTTTAACATCTTAACAGGCTGCAATTTATATATAGTGTTTTCACAGCCTATCATATCTACCGTGCTCAATAACTTTTGTATAAAATGGTAAGTGCTACAAAGTACTGCAAAGACAAGGTACATTAGCTGAGTATTTCAGTAACAGGGTTTTTTGTTCAATTATTTTTAAAGAAAATTTAATACATACTCAACACCCAAGAAAAAAGATAATATCAGTAGTCACTAACAGACTACAGTTTATTTCCTTTGGAATCTATTTTTTCAGTTGTCTAGCTAATTGCTATTCAAGTCAATAGAAAGGACTCTTAGAACACGGCAATAGTTACCATTAGGATAACAAGTAGAGAACCGCAGGCTTCTTCAGAAGGAATGATTTGCTGCGACAGATACATTATGTGCACAGAGAGGTATACAGTGTTTAAATGTATTGAAGAGAACTTATTTTCACGTTTTATGCAAGTTTTTCAAGTCTATTCAAATAACGTAAGTTAAGCTGAGGTGCTCCCACCAGTTTGCGTATCTGCCCAACCCCCCTCTCCCCAGCTTTTACTTATCATAAGAGCTCTTGCCTGCCATCACATCCTTACGCTACCTTCAGAGTAGCAACAATGCTCAGCAAATTTTGCCATGCTGAGAAAAGTAACAGACTCCTGAATACAGAGAATTGCAGCAGCATTAATGTTTTACAGAAACTGTTAAACCTCTGAGACTCGCCCCACTACTCACAGTTCTTTTATTTCCGGTGTCCCTAGGCGAGCAAAAGTCCCAGTCGCTTGTGTCTGTCATCTATCCATCTGGCTGCCCCCCCAAACTGAGAACAGACATACAGGACATCAGGTCAGAAATACAAGAGAACACCACAAAATAGAGCAAGCTGTTGCAGACAATGAAACACACGACACTCCTGGTTTGATAATGGTCTGCAATGGTACCAAACACTGGCATTTATTATCCAAAACCAGGAGGAAGCTACTGGAGGTTCTGAAGTACTCCTGACTTAAAAAGTTCTTCACAGAGAGCAAGCCACAAAGCAGAAGAACAAAACAAAAAAAAAAAACCCAAGATGTACACACAAAACACAGTACAGACCCCTGACCGCAAGCAGAGCACCCGATTTCCTCACGCAAAAGCATAACATCTTTTATGACTTTCACAGAACAGATGATCTGGCAAGGTCCAATTAGGTAACACAAACCATAGTTATTCGCTCATCAGCAACCAGCAACAGTGACAGATACCAAACCTGCCTTACTGGCAGCCTCTCTGGGCCGAAGGAACAGCTGGACATTCTGCACGCGTCTCCACTCTTCCACTGTCACTTTTGCAACGCCAGAGATAAGGAGCAACAGGCAGTTAGTGCTGCATAATAAACTTCAATTGGAAACTTCATATACATTGTCACAGGGCAGATTAGAGCCATTTCAGAATCAGTATTAGTGAATTAACAACTGACAAGTTTAGCCCAAAATTTGTTCTTGTCATTCTAAGTATAAATTGTGCTTTCTGCTCTTTTCCCCAAGTTCATGTGGCGGCAATTCTAGCTGCATAGCAGCATGCTGAACTAAGTGTTTCTTTTTCTTCACTTTTGGTTTCCTTTATTACTCCTGCAGTAACAAAATGGGACAATTGCACTTGTAGATACAGAGGTTCTCGTTTGGACTGGGTCTCTGCATCTTAGCGAGAACTGTTAGCACTTAAAAGTCACTGATAGACAACTGTATGTGCTAAAACTCTGTTTCACAGCACTTTGAAATGATCTACAAGTGTTTCAAGTTTACTTAAGGTAACTAGGATAGCACCATTGCTTCCCACCAAAACATGCTTTAATCTTTGTCAAAACTGGGTTTCAAGCCAAATTCAGTGATAGCATAATTATTTTAGTGTCACCAGAATGACAACTGTTTGACATAGAGCCAAGTAGCCCATAGCATTCAAGCTAACAGAAAAATCTAATAAATAACATTCATGTCTACATGCGTGTGCACAGCCAGCTTCGCATACTTTCACTAATATTAAGCATATTTATTCTCAGATGCTTGCTCACAGGGTCATAATGCACAGTTCATTTGGATATAATGAAAAATAACTTTACCCATTCATTTGATCTTGCCAATGGATGGAGCTTAGTTGCCAGAGAACCCTGTACGTAACAGACCACCACCAGCACTCAGAGAGTCTTCTACAAATGCTCTCCTCACAAGTGAGACTTAAATGCCAAGAAAACATTTTTCAGACATTCTTAACATCTTCTAGTCTCCAAACCTGTATGGCTTTGATTTCTGTCATCTGGTCCAGGTTACATTACAGCACAGAATCTTCAACCACAACCTAAACATTGCTGATTTGCTTCACCTAACCCAGGTTGGCAGGAACAGAAAAGTACTTTTACAATCGTAACTTGTTTGTGTACGTGTAGTTGAATAGTCATTACTACTTTTCGGGGGGGGGGGAATTTTACCAAGAACCTAAGTCAGAGATGAACACTAATTCTGTATCCACTGAGTATCTGTTTCTACCATTGAAGCCATTTGTTCAGAAAAGAGCACAAGACTCGAGATTTACATTATTACAACTTCTGTACAATTTGCAGGGCTAAAGCTGGCCAGTACATCACTGAGACAAACAGGAAGAATTGGGAAATGCAGTTTTTGAAGTTCACATTTAACAGTGAATACAGAACTACAGTAAATTAAAGTATTACATGTGAACTTACCTCCTGCAGAGCCTAGCCTATGTAAAATACATAAGGAACATAACCTCTTGCAAGGATAAAGATTTCAAAACCACTGGTATTTTAAAGTAAGAAAATGTGTTATTTTAGTACAGTTATTCTCAATGGCCACATTTTAACCCAAAAGCATTGCAATTCAATGAAAAGGAAAACATGCAGGTGGTTTAAATTAGCCACTTGGATACAACATTCCTACAAGTAGACAGAAAAAGACAGTTCCATTGACAGTCTGCTTAGCAAATTGCCACATTTTTGAACAGCATCAACTTTCTCATTTATGAAATGACAGCAGCACAAAACCTGTCTTTTTTTTTTTCATAGAAAGACATGGCTCTACACTCTTTGAAAGATGACCAGAAAGATATTATCTGGATCACTACAGTAAAAGCAACTCAGGACAGTTACACCTCACACCATGCTAGACTCAGGGTGTCCAAGACACAAATGACACCACTGCAAGGAGTCCATGCAGTGTAACTCCAAGGCTCCTCAAGTCCGACTGACTGACTCCTTTTGTAGTGTTTCACATACTTCTTACTAAGAGCTGAACTAGAAAAGAACACTTAAGACATTTTAGCATTAGAATTTTCTCCAAGATGGTTTGCATGCCATTTTGAAACCTTCCTTTCTGATTCAAAAAAGATACCACCAATATATTATCACTAAGACAAATGAAAAATGCCACTGACAAGAACAGTTGTTTTGCTATTCAAATTTTCTGCCTGCTCTTGGAGTTGAGATAAGCCATAAGGACTAGTAGTAATAGTGAATGCATCTTCCAGGGCAAGTCATGCCTGAGAAACAAACTGGTCAGTAACAGTACAGAAAGAAAACATCAGGGTTATGCACTGTTTCCCATCATTATTTAAAAATAACTTCTATTATTTATTTTTTCTTACAGAATAACAGTAGCTTACTAGTTAGCCACTGAGTACTCCAAACAGGCCTGATAATAGGATTCTGTAGGAATATCCTTAAAATTGAATAACATGCTAGAACACTACCAAAGTATGTGGAAGAGTAGGTCTAATAAGTAAACTAGCACCAACGTAGTGATTCAAGGGACAAGTCTACCACTCCTACTCATAAGGAGTATTTCCAATGGATCCACACTGGAGTTCACCATTTCAGAGGCCCTGCTGTAGACAGTTCCAACTGACTCCATAAAAGAGCTCTGTTTTGTGTATGAACATTGTCCTGGTTTCAGCTGGGATAGAGCTAATTTTCTTCCTAGTAGCAGGCATAGTGCTGTGTTCTGGATTTAGTAGGAGAAGAATGTTGATAACACACTGATGTTTTTAGTTGTTGCTAAGTACTGCTTATGCTAGTCAAGGACTTTTCAGCTTCCCATGCTCTGCCAGGTGCACAAGAAACTGGGAGGAAGCACAGCCAGGACAGTTGATCCAAACTGACCAAAGGGCTATTCCATACCATGTGACGTCATGCTCAGTATATAATCTGGGGGGGTTGGCCGGGGAGCAGCGATTGCTGCTCGGGAACTGGCTGGGTATCAGTCAGCAGGTGGTGAGCAATTGCACTGTGCATCACTTGCTTCGTATATTATTATTATCATCAGTATTATATTGTTATTATCATTACTGTTTTGCTTTATTTCAATTATTAAACTGTTCTTATCTCAACCCAGAAGTGTTTCTCACTCTTACTCCTCTGAATCTCTCCCCCATCCCATCGGGGTAGGGGGAGTGAGCCAGCAGCTGCGTGGTGCTTAGTTGCTGGCTGGGGCTAAACCACGACAAACATACAGCAGAATCCGTCTGCTTACTTACACAGAAAAAAATAAAAACTGATTTTTCATGTTCACATAATGCATTTCAGAAACAATAAGGTACTACAACCTCCTTTATTATTTTAAAAACAGTTTTATTCTGTATATTTAGAAACGTGTAATTTTAATAACTGCAGAGAAAAAAGTCAGCCACACCTGAATAGCTAATAACTCATTAACAGAATGCAGTGGTATATTATCTAAACAGTAGTAGTGCCATTGTGCCGTAATAAATTGTCTATTAGTAAAAAAATACATTTCAGGGCACATAGTACAGCATCCTTATGACAAATTACAGTAGGGATACTTTTCAAGAATTTAATCAAAGTAGAGAATTCCGAGTTATAGTCTTTAAATGCAGCACTTAAAAAGGTAACAACTTTGTGCATTTTTAAAAAATGTCCTTGTTCATATATTGTAGAAATGCTGCTTTATTGCTGCAGGTGTCAAAGTTCAAGGCTCAAAAGGTATGAGAATACAAAGATATCCTTAAGAAACTTTGTTTGTTTTTATATATATTTATATATATAAAAAGGTAAAGCTTATAAAAGTTAATTTACAAACCAAGAACAAAAGTGGTATGCACGCATTATATACAAGCGGTCTATAACATCTATAAGTTTTCAAATGCATAGCAGAAAACATACCATCATTTTCTTCTGGTTCTCTTCTGGCTGGTGAACACAAACAATACTCACTTTCTAAACCAAACTTACAAGGTTTTGTTTTGGGATTTTTTTTTTTTCTTTTTTCCTCTTTCCCCAGTCTCTCATGATATATTACCTAGGTAAGCACAAAAGCCATACAAACTTAATACAGAGAGCTATGAGAGCTAAGACTATGAAAAACATGAGGGTAAGGCATCCCTGCTGGTTAATAGGTCTGTAATAATGTGGTTAATTTACAAATCCACAGAGGCAACTGAACCATAGTCATCCCACATGCTTTTCCCCCTCCCCCCCGTTCTCATGACAATGTTTCCATATACAGTAAGTAGATGTGTTTGCATTAACCTCTTAGCAGAGCAAAACATCTAAACTGTGCTACCCCAAGCTGATTGCCATTTCATTGAACATGTACACCAAAAGTTATTTAAAAACTAGAGACCAAAATGTAGTCCTGTGAGTTACGAACACACAGTCATAAAAATGCAGGCCAAATTCTGTGGTTTTGCTAGTGGAGTATGGACCAAATTCAGTTCCTCTGAATATAATTCCATTGGTACTTTCAGAGTTTAAACAATGAAATACTAGTAGTGTCCTTTAAAAAAAAAAAAAAGGAAACAAAACAAAAAACCACAAAAGAATAACCAACAAACCAAAGCATACAGAACCTGCAAAAACCCTACCTTGTTCCCACTGTACACTCCCTGCTTGTGGCATGTATTGTGACCATGGTTCAAAGAGTGTACTTGCTAAACCATTGTTAGTTAAAGCAAGATGCTTAAACACTAAGATCCATTATCACTTATAGAACAGTTAATACTTGATAGAGTGGTTCAGTTTATACGTAAGGTCCATCTCAGTTTCACATTATTTACTCAGTCAGCTAACTTAATATTTAGAAGTGGTCAATTAGGACTGAGACACAGTTTGCTCCAACAAGATAGTTTGGATCCCCGGGAAGAGACTTGTTCTGCCAGGTTTTGGGGTCACCTGTGGGAGGAAAACACAATGCTGGTATTTAGTATCTGCTGTTAAACAGTGTACATCTTGAAACAACCAAGCTTTGGAACAGGAGCTTTTAAGTTCTGAATCAACACCTGTTTGAGGTTTTTTGTTGTTTGGGTTTCTTATTTCTTTTTTTTAAAAAAAAAAAAAAAAAACACCACAACCCTGCAGTTTGTTTGTTATTAACAAAAAATTAACCCTTTATTTTCATCTAGTGTAGGATATAGATCAGTTATTCAAAACAGATGCTGTGGCACTCAGGAATTGTTAAATGTAAGTCATTCTACTCCACAGCACCAACACAGTGCTTTCCATCTGAGAAGTGTTAACAGTGAATTGGGTATTCACTAGCTCTTTCCTAAATTGCCAGAAAAAACCCAGACATTTTTAAAGCTAATCTGGGTAGGATGCATTTGAAGTTTTGAACCAGTTCAGAACACAGATGAGTCAAATCAGAAGTTATATTGTAACTAAACACCAGGACACACTGGTAGTTTTATTTTCTATTATGAAAATTATAGTAGACAGGATTGTAGTCATTTTGCAGCTACATCCAGTATACTCGTTTAAAAGCCTGAAATACTGACATTTGAAAAAAGGGATTCTAGTTAACTGGTACATACTTTAAAATCTTTACAACCAATCTTATGTACTTATGGTCAAAGGTCCTGTGTAACATTCTGTTACAAGGGAAAGTCATCAGCCGTCATCTCACCAGACAAAGGTTACATTCCATCTGCAGTCAATTGTCTCTTGCAACTGGAGAAAGCATTCTTCCTTTACCCACCTAAAACCACTACTAAATGCTGCCACTATACAAAAAGCGTCATCATCCCGCTACAGTGGAACAGTCAAAAAAATGCACTGAAGTTCTCTTAAGCCTTTCAGAAAATTGACATTAAATAGCTTGGTCAAAACAGACCTGCCTTGAGAAAAGTGCAGCAAGTTACAGAACCCAGTCACACAGACTGCAAACACCTGAGACCTCTGTATTAAGTAAGACTGATGTAAATTCCACATAATTTTCTTGAAGAACTCATGAAAACAAAATGAAGTACACAATGCACTGAGCAATGGCAACATCTGATGTAGGGACAAAGAAGTGGCCTGTGTATAGTTAGAAAATGCAAACAAGTTTACTGCAACCAGCCGAGATTACTTATTTCTGTCAAGAAGCTCAATAATGCTGGAGGATTTTTCATTCTATAGATGCAGGGAATTCCATTCAAAACTTACACTATCAAATGTATTAGGAGAAGGGTAAAACAGGAATGTAGGACAACCAGGTCCTAGTCTTGCACATGAGACAATGGCAGACTTTTTTCCCAACCTTTCCTCCTAAATACATAGTAAGGATTAGACTGTAGCCAGTGCAACCTCTAGCTGATGAGGATGTTTTCCCATACTTACATACAACTGCTTTGGGGGAAAAAGAAAGAAAAAAAACCATCTTTCCGTATTTTTTACTAATACATTCCAATAGGTGTGGCCATAAAAGGCAACTTTTTTCCCCCAGTCAGTTTTAATACCAGAATCATTCAAGCTTTTGAAGGGGCTTAACAGTAAAATATCAATATATGAGGCTTAAATGTGGCAGAAAGGATGTTAGTAAGTGCAAATGAATGTCACTTTTAGGACAGAACATGGATACATTGAGAAAAGATGAGGTAGAGCAGACGACTGAAGAGAGAAAAAACCCCAGAATTGTATAAGCTGTTATTATAAAGCCACCTCAAAAATCAGAGTCCCATAACCAACTAATTTAGAAAGAGCGAAAACAATTATTTATTTAAGACACAGTATGGTCTACTTACATATCATAAGACAGAATTGCCTAATTTTAAAGTTTGTCTCAAAAGAGCAATGTTATGATATACATCCCATTTCAGATTAACAGAATGTGGTGTTATCTTTACAGTACAGAAAGTGTTAGGGTTTAAATATACACGCTCTTGCTCTCACCCACGCATGCACGCACACACACATCCCACTTTGGAAAGGGAGAAAAATGTCTCAGTAACTTCAGTTATTGTTTAGATCATTTGAGTCCTCTCCCCTCACTTCAAGTAAGTTCATGAACAGGTGCTATTAGTTACAAAGAAGTGTTGTGTCATTTTTGTACACAGTTATATCTTTTGGGACCCTACCATTTATGAGTCCATGTTTTAACACTGCCATGTATACACACATTGTTTAATAGATGCATGCAACACATGCATATAATAGCTTATAAAAAACAACTAAAAATTATTGCCATTAATACCTCTAGGTTATTGAATCCCCATCAAGGGGATCGATGCTTTAATCTTTCAAAGCATCGGTGCTTTGGTGTTGACAGTGATAAATACGTTAGTGACCAAAGATATGCATACATGGTGGCTTAAATGCTGTATACAGAAGTACATCATTCAGTCATTACTTAGATCATACGTACACATTAATGGTTTGAACCTTCCACCACAAATTTTGAAGGTAGCTGAATAAAACCTTAAGACTTTTTCCCCAGATGTGCAAACATTCCTTTTTACATCTCTGTAACCTCACAGGCATGTCATGAAATTGCTTGAAACTTGCCCAGAATTCTCAATTAGGCTCCTCACTGACAATTTCAGCCAATACATTCTCCTCTTCATCCCAGAAAGCCAAGTGAGGTGAAAATGAACAGGTAAATAAAATTGCAACTTAGTTGCAACCTTTACTAGCAACCAGAAACTTCTGGGTAAATGGCAGTAGAGGAGAAATAGCCAGAAGCAAGCAAGAAAAGTCTTGTGGAAAATCCAGCTACATTAGAATGAATTGTAAATGCTTTTACTGAATACTATAGTTTTCTTAAATGACCCAATTGTTAGCATCAACTTGCACACATGGAAACAGTTAACAAGCATTAAATCATGATTTATGAGCATGCAGATTGTTAAGATTTGCCAGAGTCCTATATGGTTAATTAAGCAACAGACGAACACCAGTTATGTTACAAAGGCCAATCAGAGGTACATAATCATTTCCTCAATTTTAGTGCGACTATCATTTCAAGTGTATTCAGCTGTAGCAGTCCTCAAGAAAGAAGACAGAATAGAAAAATACGATAATATTTAATAGACTAGAGATATTACTCTTTTTCTGCTATCATGGTTTTAGCTATGAATTTGCACCATGAGTAAATGTAAGAAAAGACATTTGTAATGAAAGTGAAATGGGAGAATTCGACACAAATACAATGATTGAGTTCTTAATATTACACAGCATCACCTTTAGCCAAATTAACTTAAATTATACGATAGCACCCAAAAGCCCCAAAAGGACAGAGGGAGGACAGCATACCCGACGAGGAGTCGGAGGATTTTAGAGCAAAAGACCAACCATCAGGGGTCATAGACGCACAATGTGGCAGGCGCAGCTCCACTGGCTTCAGGAATTTTAGTCCATGAGGCCCACACATTACCAAGGGGCTAAGAAGTGTTTCACCTATAGTTAAGAGAAAGAAAAACCTGTTACTGATTCTTCTTGAAATACGTTTGAAGTATTATATAATCACATTGCAGAGCTACTTAGCAACTTCATTTTAAAGAAAAATATGAAAATTTTGAGCTGTCAATAAAGAATAGCACTTAGCAAGATTGTTTCTCACAGTCCCTTTGAGAGCACTGAAGTGATTTTTCAATGGAACATACCCATCTCAAAAGGAAAAAGGGTAAACAAGTCTGATGATTAAATCATATTGGGATTTTTTTTTTGTTATATATCGAAGCATATTAAGGTATTTTCATATTCTATTTTGCTGTTGAGAAAACAATTGTATTAAGTAACAAAACACTGTACAGTGCCAGCTCTTACCTTTCTCTTTGTCCAAAGGTGGAAGTATACTGTTGTCTCTGCAGACTTTGAAATATATTTCTTGCTCTATTCCCTCTGGGATGGCTCCTTGTGGTATAATAATACTAACTCCAGTCTCTATGGAGCTCAATACCCCACCATTGCTGTTAAATACACCTCTTGCTGTGGCTACAACAGTGTGTCCATCTTCTTCCTCTTCATCATCAAGTGCTGAAGGGCTGAATACAAGACAGAAAGCCTAGCAGTTTTATCAGTATTTTCTTTCTGAAAGTCAGTAGCATACTTTCCTCTAAAATCTTAGCAGAGCACAGGCTAGTGTAGGCTAGCACTGTTTTTAGGAAAACATTTAATGTGTCCCACGCACAATTGTGCCGGGCAACTAAGATGAAAGAGTTCAAGTTCTGTCATGAGAAGAGAACATTTTCACACCAAAAAAATCCCTCCCAAAACCAACCAAACCACGGAAGCCCACAAGCTCTGAAAATGTTCAGAAAGTAGTTAAAGCAAGAATTTGGACCACTTGAATCTTGTGTTTTCAAATGCCCGTTTCTGGGATTATACAGAAAGAGCCTGCCGCAGCTACACGCTTCAGCGTAGTAAAACTAAATGTAATTAACATCTGAAAGTTTCTTTTTCCTCCCCAAACTCCATTATGACTTTAATACCATAAGGAGTAATAATTCTTATTCAAGCCATGCTGAACCCTTCTATTCAGATACACATTGAAAACAAAGCCCCCCAAAAACCCAAGGCAACAAAACCCCACACAATTTTTTCCAGGTTGCCAGGATATAACTAAAGAGAAACATATAACATTATCAAGTGGTTAGTTTGAGTAGATTTCAAATAAATTTCTAAAGAATTTCACTCAAAGAGCCAGTAATTTCAAAATTTCTAGTAGTCTACAAAACTATATAGCATCAGAACATTTCTCAGGTGCTTAAGAACAAATAGGATTCATTCTTCTGTTACATTTCTGAGTTACTGGAAGATCAAGCAAGATTTCAAGTCTGGTTCATGCATTATTATTTTGAAATCACATAATAAAACACTTCCGCAAATACTAGTGAAAAGAATTTAACAAGTCAGCAAATAGCTTAAGATTGTAATACTATTTGTTGCTCTTGACATAGTTCTTATAGTTAAAGCCTATTAAGCAAGCACAAGCTGCTTTTAAGCAGTTGTCAGTTTGTCTCGTAGTAAAGAGAACCAATATGAAACTGCTAATGTGACTTTCTCTTTTTACAAGTATTTTTAAAATATCCCTTATGCACGCGTACCATGAGGTCTCTCTCTAGGCACACAGAAGGAACCCAATTTGGTGCAACAGCTATCCTTAGAAATTAATTCCATCTTCTAGAAACAAATTGAGAAGAAAAATGATTACTATCTACCAGAAGATTTATAATTATAGTATGAGAAATGGGAAATAAAAGCCATGCCACTTTAATAACAGGATGCAAGATGATACAGGGACATAGGACATACTAAGTATATATCCCAATGTTCTTCAATAACCTTTGGCAGAATTGTAGAATCATAGTATAAATCTTTCAACTATAACATCAACAGAAATTGGAAGCACAGCAAAAAACCCCTGTATTTTTTACAGGTTTCACCGATTAGCTCCTATAGATGTACTAACAGAAAGAAAAAAGCAGCAGCTTACCTTACAGGAATGGCTTTAGGCACAGCATTAACATTATTTGGTTGATATTTAGGCTTTTCAACCTGTACAGCAAAGGTATCCACTCCACTATCAAACTCGGGAGGTTGCGATGAGCTGTGTGCTTTCAAAATTGGTTGAGGAGAATTTGGAGATTTTGATGGCAACTCTGGTTTATGTTGAGCTTCATTTGGCAAGAGATTATGGTTGAATTTAGGACTTTCAAACTTGCGCTCAAAGGGCCTTGCAGCACTAGTGTAAGGTTTTGTTGTAAAGCGGTTGTAAGAAGGAGTGACTGTTTTCTGAATCTGTTCAGTTCCATTAACAGGGCCTTTGTCAGGGAAGCTTTTCTGAGGATAAAAAGTGGACTGCACAGTGTCCTCCCTAGAGGATCTGAAAATTGCTGGCTTATTCTGAGGTGGAGGAGGGTCAGACACAGAGTTAACTGCAATGCAAATAAGAGTACCAGAACTCGTCAGTAACTGTCAGAAGTTTCTAGTCACATACACTACAGCATAAGAATACATTTTAGTCAATTCTTAATCTACTATATAAAATATATATATATATAGGTTCAGCTTAGC